CTGGGATCAGGGTATCTCCTAGTCGGGCACCCCGACTAGAGCTTTCTTACTTGTTTTTTATTTGCTTCCTCGTGGAACAAATTGTTGTGTGCTTTGGTGCATTGATTGCCAGTCCAATTCTTTTTGCAATCTTCAATGCTATGGGTGCCAAGACATTTAAAGCACAGCGTGTTTTTATATACAAACTCCTTGTGCTTTTGTAGCTCATTGTCTTTGCTTCCATCGACGTATGGGTGGCACTCTTTTCCACTGAGTCTATTGAGTTAGCACATTGTCTAAGGACTGAATTTCTCTTGCTCGGAATGTTGTTGTACTTCCGGAGAGAATCGTCGCAACAGAATTTGAGCGAATAGTACGTCAGCTTCATTACCAAATTGACCTTTTTCTTTGAAGATGAAAATGCACTCTGTTGCTGTTGCCTTCATCATTGTTCTTCAGCAGTTCCACATCCACTAGCTGGTTAACGGCTCTAAAAAATGTTTCACATATTTTAGTAGAACTTGCATATTAGTTCCCCCACTGAGTTGTAGTTAGCAGACGAGCCAATTAATAAATGGTCTACGACCATTTTGGCTTCCCCTTTGAGGCATGATTTCAAGTAGTTCAGCTTCCTTGTGTATTGGCCACTCTTTAGGACTTCCATTAAAGTGAGGAAGATCCACTTTCGCTAGCTCTGGAACGTTTCTTTTATATTTTGCAAGTCACCTACACTTCTGCTTAGTTTTCTTGTAAGTATGCTGACATTGCATTCCAACTCATCGATCTGGTCGATGTCAAATTTCTCATATTTTGCCTCTAAATCTTTGAGTGTTGACTGGACTTTATTCCACAGCAAAATCAACTTGTCTATATAGTCAAAGATTTCTTCCTGGCTGCTGAACTCTAGATTGGCATACACTTCTTGCATGTGTTGCCTTACTATTAGAGCTTGTCGGTCCACAAGGTCTACCATCACATCCAATGGACTCGAGGTTCTTTGGGAAAATATTATTTCCTGCTTTCTGTGCTGTCCATTGCATGTCTTTGGTTGGATGGATGCTGTCTGGTCGGTGTCTATGGCGTGTTCGGCAACTTCGACTCTCCGTAATTCCTGATGTTTTCCATTATGCCATCATATATTTTCTCCTTAAAATATTGATGGTCGACAACACCGATTTTGATTAGCGTTAGATGATTGGCAGTTAACTCTTATGCCAATTTATCAATGACTGATAACGCATCCATTTTCGTGATGCTCTGCTGGATCTTATCATAAAACTCTGATTGCTTTTTGAGCAACTCAAGAGTTTTTGCCGACAGCATTTTGTTTGTGTTGTTTCGTGTGAAAATTTCGCTTTGGTGGATCGTACTTTGCCTCACAGCTTGAATTGGTAAGCCAAAGAAAATGATTTAAACAATTTTTTACTTCACTGTGTAAACACTTAACACAAAACGTAACTTGGTAGAATGTAATCGAAGGACGAATGTGGATAAAGTTGTTAGTATTGTATTCTCCGGCTCGAGGGACCAATGTGAATACACTTGACTGTGGTCACTTACTTATACTTATGACCCATGCGTATTTCATCTCTTAAATCTAGCTTATAAAGTGCTGATTGTGTAAAGGTCAGCTTTCGTATGTCTAATTTTAGAATCTTAGCATGTAATTTGAGCTGTTCCGATTGCACTCCCTGCAAGTGGTTGAATGCGTAGACGGCATGCTTGAATTTTTTAAATATGCTGTATGTATGCCTGAACAGACCCCATAAAGTATATATATTCTTAATCAGGAGGACAAGTCGGGTCAATTGAGCCCTATTCGTCAGGCTGTTCGTCTATGCGTATGTGTGAACGCGACGATCTCAGCAACTATAGAGACTTGAATCTTATTTTGTAGGTCCCTGTGTAGTACGCGCATATCAAGTGTGCTTCAAATATTCGATAACTATTTCCGTTCTATTGTTATCGATTAAAATCAAAATTTAGAATGCAGCTAATAAATTATATATCGTACGACTTAAGAGCCTCCAAATTTTGTATTTAGTTCTATGTATTTTATACCGTCTCCAAATTTACCCAAATACTATAAATATGAGTTCAGTTGGAAATAGGGTCAATAGGTGCAGAAGTTTGCATTTGTACTAATCCAATAGAATATGTCGATTGTATGCTAAAAATTTCATTCAAATCCATAAAGTAAAACAGAATTTATAAAACAAGCCTTTTGGCCAATTTGCAAAATTACATGTCAAGCAGCGCAATGCGAACGCATTCTTCCTATACATATGCTGGATACATGTTCAAAAGATAATGTAAATAGGAAAGCTTTTCTGCCACTAGAACTTAAAGCAAAAATAGCTGAAAAAAGAAAACTGCGGAAATTATGGCAGACAACGAGAAGCCCAATCGACAAAAGTAAATTCAACAAGGTAGTCAAAGACAAAACAGCAGAATATTTAAGGAATCTTGATCCGTAAAAAAGTGACTTGGATTACAGCCTTTGGAAAGCAACTAGGTAAAAAAGACCAACCAGAAGAGCTACAACAATTCTAGACAGCAGGGGACAACGCTGCAGATGCAATAATGAAAAAGCTGGAGCGTTTGCAGAACATTTAAGCTCTGTTTTTAAGCCAAATCTGGAAAATGATCCTCACACAGTAGATGAAGTTGACCAATTTCTAGAAACTGCTTGCCAGATGAGCCTACCAATACACCACAGGAATATTTCAGAAGTGGAAGAGGAAATAAAGATCCAGGTTATGATAAAATATACGCAAATACCTTTAGACATCTTCCGCCGAAATGCATCCGATTGCTCACTCAAATATACAATGCTATGCTATGAGTGGAATACTTCCCAAGACAGGAACATGGAACACTCGAGCAATGCCATCGTATAACGCATGCAATTATTGATGCATTTGAATGCAAAAAATATTGCACAAGTATCTTTTTAGACATTAAACAAGCGTTTGATAAAGTCTGGCATGCAGGTCTTCTTTACAAAGTTAAGAAGTAACTGCCAGCACCATACTTTACTTTTATAAAATCGTATCTGGCAAACCGATCTTTTTATGTACAAGAACATGACGAATCATCCAACATATACATTTCTGAAGCTGGTGTTCCGCAAGGCAGTGTTATAGGTCCATTTTTTTATACAATTTTCACAGCTGACCTACCTACAACAAACGCTGTTGAGATAGCAACATATGTTGATGACACCGCAATCATTGCTACGAACACTGACCCACAAGTTGCATCCATTTTACTCCTAGAAGAAGTCGGTCTAATTGAAGTCTGGCTTCAAAAGTGGAGAATAATAGTGAACACGCAAAAGTCAGTGCAAGTTACATTTTCTCTGAGACCTGGAAGTTGTCCTGCAGTCACTTTAAATCGGTAAAAATACCTAGGTGTTCATCTTGATCGGCGGCTAACTTGGAAGCAGCACATCAAATCAAAACGAGAGCAGCTCAAGGTGAAAACCAGGAAAATGTATTGGCTGTTAGGACCACGTTCTGAACATAGTCCTCAGAACAAATTAAGGCTATATAAGGCCGTACTGAAGCCAGTATGGACCTACGCATTACGATACCAGAAAAAGACGCTCAGAATGATTACATGTGCACCCTGGTATGTGACTAATTATAATATCTACAAAGATGTTAAACTGATCCTTGTTAAAGAAGAAATACAACTATATGCTAACAGATACATGAATAAATTACATAACCACGACAATGCTTTAGCACTAAGACTACTGAATAACTCAAGCAACCACAGGCGACTCAAAAGATTTCTAGTCCTAGACCTTCCCCACAGAAATAGATATATATGTAAAGTAGTTAAATATATGGATTGATCTCATTGGAGCCCAAGCCATCCGGTTATGTAATATTAATGATAAAAAATTTGTTTATTGTCTAGTATAAGACAGATTGCAAATAAAAACAGCAATTGAAAAAAATATTTATATATTCGGTAACTATTCCCATTTAATTGTTATCGAATAAAAACATTTTTTATTTTTTAATTATAAAGTTGCGGTGATAGTAGAGTTGAATCTTGGTGTCGAAATATCGAAAATATTGAAAAATGCAGATAAGACTGGGATCAGGGCATCTCCTAGTTGGGCACCCCGACAAGAGCTTTCTTACTTATTGAACTTGGATTGTCACTGCGACTAACATAGCGTTCAGACAGTGAAACACTACAGTGCTATACCTACATAAGGAACATGAAGAGAATTTATTTGGCTTACAAAGAACTCTCCGAAATGAACGCTCAAGTGGTCATTTGGGAACCTGTTCTCGTTTGAGTACTTCGTGAACTTCTGTAGTAACTCATGACACTGTAGTTGTGCTGATTCCGAATTCTTCGGCTTTTTTTTGCAAGGACATAGCTTTTTTCCGCCTATAAATATTGTTTGCTGCCTTTTACGTTTTTATAGTTTGCAAACCAAGCTGTTGTCTGATTTAATAACTATATGATTGGTTTTAAAGACATCGAACAATATGTTCTTCCTTCAGAAAAAAAGAAGAAAAGAGTAATTACTGGGAAATGCTGACGAAACCATATACGAGTAAGTGCTGCTCAATTTAAAATGTCAGATGATACCACTCCCCACCAAGCTGTAAAAAAAATAACAGTTTAGCTATATGTCGTTACTCTTCGAATTAAACTAACCATTCAACAATTTTACTTGATATGCATTTGATTTTTAAGAGAATATTTTGGTTGGCCAGTGGCTCCATTGCAACCAATAAGACGGGTCAGTTAGGAATACAATTTTAAGTCAAATTATTCTTATATGCATTAAAAATGGAGCAAGTATTGCATAAAGTCTTAGGGCGGCCTTGAGATCAACTATTACTATATATTTTTTATTTTCTGAAATTACACGCATCACGTTTTTTTTTCCAAATAACAATCGATTGAATCCGATGGCAATGCTCAAACCCTTTTACATATTTTTCTGGATACATCTTTAAAACAGAACGATAGACAAAAAAATGCAGCGGGACAAGTTTTTATTACATTACATCGTTGTTAAAAAAATATAAATTAATATGCTTTAATTTAAATTATAATTAGTTTTGGCATTGGGTGCAGCAACTATTAAGCTCTGGACGTTGACGTTTATTAGTGCACCAAAATGCAAATCGCAGCTCTTCAAGCATTTCAACCCATAGAGAACGTGGCGGAGGTAAATATGCCAAATCGGTTCTTGTTTGTGAATCCTTAGCAGGTGGATAGCTTATCTGATTGTGATTCTTACAATTGCAATGAGTAATTCGCATTAATTTCGCCTGTCGTCGGAAATTAATCATAAATTCGAAGAATGAAACAATAAACGCCACTAATATTCCAGTAATTAGTACCACAAATACACCACCTACAACATTTCAACATAAATATAACATATTTAAATATTAATTGTTGGACTCAACCTATACTGTCGAGTCCTAATGCATTTGCTTTCGATTGTTTATTGCTGCTTATCCGTTTACATGTCTCATCAGTGTTTTTCCACCATTTGTCATATAGCATTTGAATATCTCCTTTTTCTTGAAGTTCCAATATAGCCAAAGATATCTTATCCCGCCATGGAGATCCCTTAGGTGTAGCAATACCATATCCTAAAATTTAATATATTTAATGGAATGTGAAAACTTATAGTTTAAAGATGAAATTTATTTATGAAAAACAACTTTCAACTTTTTTACCTTAAGAGCCCATGTTATACATGTGTATGTATATTGGAAGAATAAGAAATACATTTTAAAATACTCAATATTTCACCCATATAATATATCTATTATATTATATAAACCCTTAACATTAAAAGATTTCTTGACTGTAACAAAAATGTAAATTTGCGAGCAGGTTCACTGTTTTTTCGTCAGTATGACCTATTCAAGGATTTAATTTTGTAAAAAGAGCCTAAACGGGCAAAACGACAAGCTTTCTTTTACTGCATACCCCATAACATAGAACTATGAAATGTGATCCACTCTCTAATGACTAAACCCCAAATATTCTTGCATGTTTTCATATTGACACAAAGTAAATTATGTTGCCCATTCAAAATGGAAATTCTGAAGGGGTCATTTCTATGGGGTCATTTTTTGTTGAAAATTATTTTAAACTTACATTTTTATCAGCATTATTAAATACATAAAAACGCGTGTGGATGCGTGTACATATATATGTACACATAAATGCAAGATATGTATGTATATGTACAAGGTATTAAAAGGCCGTACATGCCCGACTAAAACCATCTTACTTATTTTCATTTTATTGATTTTGATATTCAAAATTATGCCTTTAAAAATTATACCTTTTGTGTCTAATAATCCGCCGATCTGTGTTAAATTGCAGTCTCGTTGAACAATATAGTCAAGCATTGTTGATTCCATTAAAAAGGCGTAATTACCCTGGTTCACGCGCCTTATGCCATCCTCATATGTAGATGTGAACGCCATAGGTTTCTTATTATCCATAATTCTCCACATCTTTTTATAGGTTTCAATCATGGAGTCCTATTTACCAAAGATATTGTTATTGTAAAACTTTTAAATACTTTGTCAAAAGTGATAAAACGAGATTTTCGTAAATATCCATCCCGATGTTATCCCGTTTTTAAATATTATTTTTAGCTTTATGTTCTCGAAGTAAAAAGAGTATATTGTTTTTTCTTTGCTATGCGCATCTTGCTGTCCGCATGCCTGTATGAAAGCAAAGTATTTTGGTTTTCGCAACCGAAACTGGCCTTAGATAGGATCACCGGTATATAATTTCATTTCCGCCACAAGTCGGAATTATCGGCATGCTATAAAAAACACTATTTAAAAATTATTGCAAAAAACTAACAACGGAAACAGTGGTGTCGACTTAACCAACAAAAGCAAAAGCGCCAACATGACAACATCACCAATGAAACCCACATAAGCACCACAGCGTTCGACCCGCTGACAAAGCGTATGCCAACCACTCCGAAGAGCCGTGCCTATTAAAACTCTTATAATTAAGGAGAAGAAAATAAAAATGCAAGTTCCTTTAAATACAAAAAATATTTACAACAGGGTTTTCAGAATAAATCTTTAATAGGGAAATAATAAGAAAACTGAAATTATTTTTTTCCATGAGTGGCGAGTCTTCATTACACAACAAACAACAAACAAGCTTTGGGGTCTCAACCTCCTCAACCTCATGGTAGTCAATTCGTCTTCTCACTTCATACCAGGTCCCATAATAATAAGTCACACCATTTCGGAAGCAGTTCCAATAGAACTCAAAGCTCCTATTGAAAGACTGCCGTACTACATCAATACTATTGCACTTACACGAACAAATGACATATTTGTAATTACGACATATTCAAAATTATACCCTAAACCGATAGGCACTGCTGACTTTGCAGAAGTCAAAGTTAAAGTCATTGTTGAAAAAAAGTTAACGAACGATTCATTGCGCCCTTAAAAATTTCCCTGCTGCAGAAATGAGGGTACTCCAGCAAACAATAAAGGCTTTTAAGAAAGCTGTAGAATATTTTAGATTCATCGCATCCAGCGGTGGGATAACAACTTTACCAAAAAGGGTGCAGGCAATCTCAAATGTATCAATTTCTTTGACGATATTCAAACTATGATCATATATTGACTGAGAAAGCTATACCGGAGTTCTAGTAAAGTCTACGTTAAAATAGTTCAACCTCTCACAGGCATTTCAAAACTCTATAATGGTATAGTCGCAGAGAACCTATCAAGAAAAGTGAGAATAATTATTAACTGGCGCCAGCTTCAAAATTTAAGTAAGATAAAAAATGTTATTTTTAGGAAAACAACACTTGATATGGCCATAAAGCCTCCCGTAAATTATGGCCAATGATAATGTTTCCTCTATGGAGTAAATATCCCCAATATTTTATCTGACCATCAACTTTTGCTGTTTCGCAAAAAAATTTGACAAACCGCTGGAAAGCATTCAACACTAAAAAAGACTTCGTCACCGATGCATTAGAAATTCCTGAGTTAAATGCAGCTACTTAGCATATTATTAAAGCAATAGACAACCCCGTAAATGCATTCTAAGCCGCATCATTCTGAAAGAACTAGATACCAGTTTTACAGACCCTCTTAAAGGAATTCCAATACACATTGTGTTCCATTGCGAAATAACAATATTGGCCTTAATATCCAACATAGTGTAGTAGAAGCATTCCATTCGAAGATCATACAGAACAAAAAGAAATAATGACAAAATCCTTCGGTAAAAATGGTTGAAATAAATTTGGCAGTAAACTTTTTTGATGCAAAGCACAACCGCATTCTATGCTGGAGAAATGCTTCACATTGACATACTCTCAACGAATAAGTAATTCAATTCAACTTGAATCGTGCAACCAATACTCACGAGGAATAGTAAACATCACTTTCCTTATATCCCAGATTGTTAATTTATTTCTAAGATTAAAACTGTTTACTGTGATAACGAGAAATCGACGGGATTCCATAGTAAAAGAATTAACAAGAACTTGACGACATAGTTGAGCTAATGCTTTCAACAATTAAGTACAATAGGACAATTAACTCATTAACTAACAAGACACAAACTGATATACACCTCCTCCATTAAGGCTCATGAGATAAGAATAGAGTCTTTAATGTTCAAAATGAAAGTTTACGTCAGGAACATAAAAGCTACTAAATTAGCACAAAAAATAGCTAAAACATAATGCTCTCAGGAAGTAATAAAAGGACACTTTGGGACGACAACTTTTATTATGGGGATTTGTGTTTGGCAACCAGCAATTAAGCCAGGAACATTTCACAGTTTATTTGTACATCAGTTTATTATTATATTATTTGCTAATTTAGTTTTTTTAAACTTTCTATATTTCTTAGAATAAATCTTGGACTTTTTACATTACTACACAGACAATGGACGGATAAATTCGCTACATTGATAATTAGAAATCAACACAAAAATCCAGTGACAGCTCTAATCAATAACAAATGTCACAGATACAGATATAATTTTGTCAGAAAACAGGATAATAATTACCGATTTAAAAAAACTAAAACTAACAAACATATTAAAGGTATCTAGCATTAATTCTTTTCATAACAAAATATTCCATTTTGAATTAAATTCCAAAACCCAGAGTTAACTTGCAATAAGATTGGGTCTAAGATTTCGAAAATGGCAACACGGTCGCTGATGGCAGCTCACACATCGTCGCTGTCTGCAGGAAATATATTTTCGAATCCTGAGGTCAATAACTGGTATCTGGAGGTCATTGGAGTATACATTCAAAAAAAGTCTCAACCATATCTCAAATCACCGTGATAGCGCATCGAAAAAGACTCAGCCACCATTAACTGAGCATCAGAACTCTATGGCACACTGCCAAGGACTAACTGTTAAAAAACCTATTATGAGCAATTGCACTACTGCCTTGGGTGTACTCGTTTAATTCGTAATCTGCTAGAAAATCATCTGATCTCGATCTATCGGACAGCCGTCACATAACTATGTTTCTGCAAACAAGAAAGAAATTCTGTAAAATGGGCGCAAGTGCCAGACTCTTGACGTGCGCAATGCGCTTCGAAGGAGTATCGTAAGCTACTATTTGTTTATGACAATCAAAATACAGTGGTTAATTAGTTAGGATTAGTTCTTCGCAATGTTGCTCCATTGCATTGGTACCTTTTTTTAAGCAAATCTCGCTATTACAAGAAACAATTTTAGAAAGAAATTAAATTACAAAATTGAATTAAAATTTTTCCGCAACAGATTCTATTAACTAGAGCTTGGCATCTGAATATAATCGGAGCATTATCTCGTATCATTTCATCAAAAATATATATCGTGAGTTTTACAGTTGGAGTGAGGTTGAAGTTTCAATGATAATAATAACATATAAGGAAACTATATTAAGAATGGAAAAACAAAGTTAAAGGTATAATGGTTTTGTTAAACTGTATGTAAAAGGCTGAAGTAAGCGTGGCAGACCCCACAGAGTATATACGAAAATAGAGCAAATACGTGAAGGACTTTGCATTTTTACTTAGCTGAGGATGACTTTAATAGAATATGAAGATCATATGCTGAAAATTTCAACAAAATGTGTTAAGTAAAACAGAAGTTAAGCAAAACTTTTGACCAATTATGAAAAAATTTTAAAGCAAGTGGCAAGCAACAGCAAGCGCACGCATTTTTCCGTGCATTATTTTTTATTCAAAGAATCAAAATTGTGATTAAATAGAGTTAGAATTGATATCTTCTTCTTTAGTAGAGATTTGAAACTTCTTGCATAAGCAATACAGTAGCGGTCGTTATAGCTGCGGGTTCAATACCAGGCGTCGACAAGACCATTTTTTTTTAAATATGAAGTGGCGGTCTTGGTTGAGGTAATGCGCATTGCGTAGGCAATGATGATGACGAATCGTGCTGTTTTGATATCAGTATTTATTTTTTTCATGCTCGATACAAACTTTGGAAAATATTAAAAAAAAATCAGATAAGATTGGGTTTAGGGTATCTCCCATTCTGAACTGAACGACTAGAGCTTTCTAATTTGTTAAACAATCCTTTTAATGTAAGTAAGTCCCCGAATTTTTCATATAAGTTGTCTTATGACATTTCTGTGTAAATATATATATAACACATAAATTCCAACTGAGTACAGTTTTTGAGATATATTTAATTGAGTTAAATTATATAAATTTACGAAGTAGGTAGTAGACATGTGATCCGCATATACTTACCCGAAAGAAGGTCATTGTTGATCCACTATCTAATGTTCCGTATGAAATCTCTGTCTGGCTAGCCAAATCTTCAGCATTTTCGATCGGGTTGATCATACGTTCGACAGTTAAAAATGCTGCCAAGTTAGCAGTATATGATGCAACTATAATAAGCGAAAAAAATCCCCAAATACTACTTATAATTCGGGTAGATGTAGCTCTTGGATATATATCAGATCCCTGCTGCATAAGCGTTCCAATAGTAAACCAAAAAACTATCCGATATTGTAAATTGGTTGCTTATTGTTAAGTGATCCACATCACATGGGTGTATACTACGCCATTCCATCGGAGACAATTTTGCTAATAAATATATTGTTAGTGATACAAATAAATATGCTGCCAAAACGTAAATCCATATTTCAATTGCCAGTGGATTCATAAATGAAAATAGTCGTGTTGGCTCCGTCATAGGGACCTAAAAAAGTATTTATACAATATTAGATGCTTTTGTTGCTGTATATATATATATAATAATATAGAAATAAAACTCTTTTTAAAAACTTTAGTGGACAAGAAATCAAACTATAATGTATCCCGTATTAAACTCTTAATTTTCGTACATTTATAACTTTTTTCTCTTTATAAGATAAAGCTACATTAGCAGCGCAGATCCAACGGAGAACGCAAGTCAATATAGCCGTGAACTATATTTCTAGATTTGTTCAAAACCATATATTACCGTGACCCATTGTTAATTAATTTATTATTATTATTATTATTAATAGTATTAACCACATAGAGCTGTGGACAAATTCACTACACTTAATCATGTATGCATAAAATACGGATTTCCTCGTTCACAAGCTTTGCAGAATTGGTGTGAATACACTTGACTGTGGTGGCGTTCAGTTGTGTAATGATCTTTATTCGTCTGAGATAGAGTTTTAGATCTAGATTATCAAGTGATGACTGTGTAAGGGTCAGCGCTCGTATGTTTAATTTTAGAACCTAAGCTTGTAATTTGATCTATTGCGATTGCACTCCCTGTAAGGGGTTGAGTGCGTAGACGGTATGCTTAGAATTAAATATGCTGTATTTTCATTTTTCGATGCTTCCCAGAGTTCTCTAGGACGTCCAGGCACGTCGTTGTTGATGTGCTGATTACCTTGTTGGTTGATAATCCAGTTATATTGCCGGAGACAATCCATTCAATTTTAGTGTTTTGTCCCAGTGTTTTGTTAATTTTCATCACTTTTCCCAACATGATTAGGGGAAATAAATCAATGCCAATGACAACGTCAATTCGAATGGGCTCGTTAAAATGTGAGTCTACTAGCTCCCAGCTATTCCAATCCTTATTAACATCCATGCCAATTTTCTAGGTTGGTAAAGCTCACTAAAGTTTTGGCATAACAAGTGCCTGCGTTGTAGAGACAAATTTGCTACTAAACCTGGGTTTGATTGTTAAGCAAACACTATTTTTAAAAATTTCCAAAGTTTGCGAAATTTATTGAACCTCCACATTCCGTTTGGTTCGGCGCAGTTTTTAACTATTGTGCGGCTTCTTCAGATATTAAGGTTTTTTGTGAGCCTCCATCTATAAGAGCTCATAGCTGCTCGTATTGTCCAGACTTATTTTTAATCTGTATGAACGCAGTCATTTAGACAGTTGCTGCTGCCGGTTTTTTTTTTTTATTTGCTTCCTCGTGAAACAAATTGTTATGTGCTTTGGTGCATTGATTGCCAGTCCAATTCTTTTTGCAATCTTCAATGCTATGGGTGCCAAGACATTTAAAGCACAGCGTGTTTTTATATACAAACTCCTTGTGCTTTTGTAGCTCATTGTCTTTGCTTCCATCGACGTATGGGTGGCACTCTTTTCCACTGAGTCTATTGAGTTAGCACATTGTCTAAGGACTGAATTTCTCTTGCTCGGAATGTTGTTGTACTTCCGGAGAGAATCGTCGCAACAAAAATTTGAGCGAATAGTACGTCAGCTTCATTACCAAATTGACCTTTTTCTTTGAAGATGTAAATGCACTCTGTTTGCTGTTGCCTTCATCATTGTTCTTCAGCAGTTCCACATCCACTAGCTGGTTAACGGCTCTAAAAAATGTTTCACATATTTTAGTAGAACTTGCATATTAGTTCCCACACTGAGTTGTAGTTGGCAGACGAGCCAATTAATAAATGGCCTACGACCATTTTGGCTTCCCCTTTGAGGCATGATTTCAGGTAGTTCAGCTTCCTTGTGTATTGGCCACTCTTTAGGACTTCCATTAAAGTGAGGAAGATCCACTTTCGCTAGCTCTGGAACGTTTCTTTTATATTTTGCAAGTCACCTACACTTCTGCTTAGTTTTCTTGTAAGTATGCTGACATTGCATTCCAACTCATCGATCTGATCGATGTCAAATTTCTCATATTTTGCCTCTAAATCTTTGAGTGTTGACTGGACTTTATTCCACAGCAAAATCAACTTGTCTATATAGTCAAAGTTTTCTTCCTGGCTGCTGAGCTCTAGATTGGCATACACTTCTTGCATGTGTTGCCTTACTATTAGAGCTTGTCGGTCCACAGGGTCTACCATCACATCCAATGGGCTCGAGCTTCTTTGGGAAAATATTATTTCCTGCTGTCTGTGCTCTCCATTGGATGTCTTTGGTTGGATGGATGCTGGTCAGTGTCTATGACGTGGTCGGCAACTTCGACTTTCATCAGAGACTCTCCATAATTCCTGATGTTTTCTATTATCATATATTTTCTCCTTAAATATTGGTGGTCGACGACACCGATTTTGATTAGCGTTAGATGATTGGCAGTAAACTCGTATGCCTATTTAACAATGACTGATAACGCATCCTTGTTCGTGATGCTCTGCCGCATCTTATCATAGATCTCTGATTGCTTTTAGAGCAACTCAAGAGTTTTTGCCGACAGCATTTTGTTTGTGTTGTTTCGTATCAAAATTTGTTTCTTATTTAGTCTTTGGCTTGACCCATTGGAGGTATTTTTGTGTTGATAGACTTTTTGATCGCGCTGTGCCTCTACACACAGCTTGAATTGATAAGCCAAAGAAAATTATTTAAACAATTTTTCACTTCACTTTCTTGTATTCTCCTGCTCGAAGGGCCAAAATGTGAATACATTTGACTGTGGCGGCGTTCAGTTATGTAATGATCTTTATTCGTCTGAGATAGAGTTCTTATACCCTGACTCATGCGTATTTCATCTCTTAAATCTAGCTTATCTAGTGCTGCCAGTGTAAGGGTCAGCGCTCGTATGTTTAATTTTAGATTCTAAACATGTAACTTGACCTATTCCAATGGCACTCTCTAGAATTAGTTGTATGTTCATGCCTGAACAATCGGTAATATTTGAGTGTAACTTTAGACTTATCGTAAGATAAGTACTAACCATGTAATTAATGAAACAATTTATATTGAGAATATATAAATGTATGTAACAAGCCGAAGAAGGCGTAGGGCCCCATTCTTGACCTGAACGAAAACTAAACCCTATCTGTCTGTCTTCCATCCATTCGTCAGTCCGTAAGAATGAACACCTTACTCCAACCAATAATAACCAGACAGTTTCTATTTTCTGTGGGTAACTCTCTGAATTAGCAATTGATTCGGATATGTCCTCAACACACTGCAAACCCATAGATGAAATACCAAGAACAAGCTAGATCAAGCATAAAATTTGCGGACTAGGTCGCACTCAACTTGGGCTTTACACGTGTCCCAAACGATTAGGTTTAAAGGGACAGACAGGAGGGACAGACGATCAGGTGCTGGGCAAGGATTACTTGGTCAGCATATGCACAGTGCGGAAGTACGGCCAAAGCTAAAAATTTAACCAAAAAATCCACATATGCAAGTAGGCCCCAGACGCTAATGGAGTGAAGTCGACGCAACAGCAGCCACTGGAAGTGAATACATTCCTACGGAAAGAATTGACGAATTGCATAACATAAAAGGCCCCACTATGTTACTGAACACTGGATCACGATGACCGGCCCATTATTTAGGCTGAAATTAACAAACAAGTGGATGAAATAGGCAAAGATTAACGAGTGATGATCAAGAAAAAAGATTAAAAATGGAAGATATATGCAGATACGTAAAGGATGCATATCCACTTCCATAAGTGCGTATTGGACCAGTTTCGAGAAGCTATAATACGATCTTAGATTTAAAGAGTGGCTATTGGAAATACCTCTGGAGAAATCTGGCCGGCGACTGACTCAGTTCCATGAAAGGGAATGTGTTAGTGAAAATTGCACTTTAAGGATCGCTAGATAAGGATATTAGAACATCAAAGATTGTGTTGATCACGGATCACTTGGTACTGAAGTAGCTCAACTCTATAAAGAATTCTTGAGGTTGGGTTGCTATATAGGCAGTGGAGCTGCCAGAAGAGCAGGCAAGATGGGGCCAATATGAGGAAAGAGAACCTGTGCAGATCTTCAAGCACAACGGTTTAACACTTGTTTGTTATGCAAAATATTGCCCGGCAGCTGCGCTCATAATGATGCCAGAGCTTTGATACTTGTTCTGTACTTAACTTCAACGTTAGAAAGTATTTCAGCCGACACATAGGCTAGGAAAAAAGACAAAAAAGTTTATTCAAATAATCATCGTTTAAGTCATAAAAAATTGTTTTGTTTCTTTGTCAGTGCAAGTGTGTTGACATTTGTTTCTTGGTTTCGTTTTTATATAAAATCCAAATTAAATCAAATTCCGGCATTATGCCGATTATGTGTTTATAATCGGTCATTGCAACCCACGAGTACGTGAAATGTCTACAAGATAGTTTGTTTTGCTGATGAACTCTCTGCTTATAGAAAACTACAAGAATTAAGCAGTAAAGTGGGACAGCCAGATAGAAAGTCATCAAAAAGATGCTGCCCAGCTTCAAGTCTTGATTACAAGCGAAATTAGCTAAAGAGAAGAATTCAATTAACGTTAAACGCATAAAAAACTCAAATGAGCACATTACAGTTAGAAGTACTCCAGTTTAAGGTGTACCAAAGGATCATGCACTGCTTGCGTTTGTTTCCGGCTTGAAGAAGACTCTAAGATCAGTTGTATTTTCATCGCAGCCAAAAAGACTTACCTTCTACACTGACCCTAGCCAGAGAGGCAGAGGCTAGCAAAGAAAGGTGTGCAATTGTAAAAACGTTCTCAGTTACAGCAAAAAGCAATAAAGGCAGGAAACTGAACGGTCAGATGAAAACCGTTACTATGTTAGGATACCGACCAAACAGCAATAGAAAAATTCTAGTCAGGACCAGATTAACCACACAATGCAATAGAACAGTCGCCACAACCTATGGACGTCAACACTCCGACGTCGAGGTAAAGGCAACAGACAAGGTTCGTAAAATATCAGATCATTAACGCACAA